CCCTCTTTTTTTCCTCCCCCCCTAAAAAAAAAAAAAAAAAAAAAAAGCCACTTCAGGATGGGCACCCATCTGCCTACAAAAATGTTCTGCCTTCATAAAGTTTTAACACTTTCTGTACCAGATTATTGCAAACTTGAGTTTTCTCTTAACATAACCTTGCAATACTGATGCTGGTTGGCTGGATTGTGTTTGCCTTGATAATTCATTTTGTTGTCCCCTACTGCCATCAGACTGTGGTGCCCAGTAAACAATTTAGATTTTAGAATGATAAGAATATTTTCTCTCACTGGTCACTATCTTTTTTCTAAATGGACTTGAGAAGTATGTCTTCAAAGGATGCCACTGAGTATAAATGATAAGACAGTTATTATCCATGTATCCCTGCAATGATATAAGAGAGCCAGTCTCTGTGTCCAGGAGTGTAATTTCTCCCACGTTGGTATTTTCTCCATGCAGTTTGCCAGGAATCCAGGCATTGCATAGGCTTGACAAAGCAGGTGAGGGGGTGGGGGGCTAAGACACAACCAAATACAGGAAATTCGGTTTTGCCAAATTTGACCAATCACACATCACTTATAGCCAAATGGGACTGACAGAGTGTTCAAGTATCATTATTCAAGACCAATAGCCAAGCGGTTTCGCTTACCTCTAGTGTAGTTAATACAATCTTCTCAACTGAAGAAAAATAAGCCTCCCACAAGAATTGTGTCTGCTGTCTAAGTGCTAGGATTTTATCCTGATGAATAGACCTGATTGTAGAAGGAATCTGTAACACAAGGTGAACACATAGTAATTATCACTGCAAAACAGAAATGTGTTTGGTCAAAATAACCCAACTGGGTTATTCATAGCATTCAGCTTCTAACGTACAGCTCTATTAAAAAATCAATGGCCCCCCAAGTTGAAACGCCTTTAAAAGTGTCAGCAACAGTACTTGCTGGGAATCAGCTTCAATGGCTTTTAATACACAAAAAATAGAATCACCCGGAAGATTCAGTAGCAGCTTATTAGTTACTTAGGATATTCCTACACTCACAATTGCCATTTCCTTCTCTCTGAGTCCCAGAAATCCTCAACCCTGCATGTGGACAGGATTACAGAGAAGTAGCTAAAGACCTGGAGAAAGGTCCAAAGACTGACTTTATTTCTCAACAGTTCTAAGATCTGCCACCCCAGAGGTTATGAAACATCTATTAAAGGACTTCATAGAGAAGGCTTAATGTGCCTCCCATCCAACTTGAAGCTGGGTTAGTCATTTGTATGTGCACAGACCGCCCATCTCAACCTTGAAGCCCTTCCATTCCTTTGATCTCTTTACCTGGCTCCCGTTCTTACACCGATCTAAAGCTCACTTCCTTTGGCAATGTCCAAAACATCATATATGATGTTTAGCCATTACAGAGCTCTAAGAGCTTACACAATTTTAAAGGAAGGGCCTACGTTTTGTCTATTCTGCTACACATTTTAAGGTTAGGAGACTGGCTTTTGTGAAATAGTTATGCAAGAAAGAAGGACTGAATGAACAGGATCACTTGAAGCTACCATAGGGATAGAATTATTTTTAATAGCTGTATAGCTTAATGGTAAGGCACAGGGGCATAGGACTCAAATAGCCCAAGGTAGATTCTTGGCTCTACAATGTACCAGTTGTGCTTTCTTAGACACATGCATAGATCTTTCAAAGACTCTATTTCCTGTTTATAAAATGGGAATATAGTATTAACATCATAGAGCTGTAGTTAAGATTATATAAGTACTTAGCACAATGCCAAATGCATGTGAGGCTTACTCAATATAGTATATTATCACTCCTATTATAGTTATTGATATTAGGGTGATGTTATTTGAAGTTAGACCAATTGCTTAATGTCTGAATGTGACCTTGCTTGGGTCTAGAGCTCTGAGATGTATTTCCTAGGCTTCTGGTATGTTTTCCAGGCTGGCTTCCTATTTTCACCTACAGTTCAAGGTCTATTTCATTTATGGAGTCTATACTCTTAAGGGAGATTCCTTGTGATTAGCAACTGCCCTTTTGTGTTCACCTCTTTCTGCATGCTTGCCTCCCTAATGAATGACTAATCAGATAGACATGGGAGTTTGGGCTGAAGGAGCAGTGCTCTGCTAGCTGCCCAAGTAGGAAAGTTACCCAAGGCATTTGACTAAGTTTCCACTGGAGAGGAAGGGGGTAGTTGCACATTTTTTGGATTCAAGACTGCCTTTAGGAAGGGCAGTGCAACTGTTTGACAATAAGAATAGAAGAGAAAGAACACTTCCTTTGGCAATGTCCAAAACCAGATACTAAATCAGTGCCCTAGGGAACCAGCAGTTAGTGTAATGGCTATGTTGCTGGACTCCCATGTAGTTGACCGCGGTTCAAGTCCTGGACCCGGTGGCTTAAAACTCAGGCCAGGCACGTGTGCGTGCATGCCCGAGATCCCGAGAGGAGAATGGAGAAGGGATTGCGGCATGACCATCCCCTCTGGGGGGGGTGATTTCTCGCTTTCTGTCTCTATGTCTCTCTTTGTCTGTCTGGCGAGCGCATGCGCCCTATAGCGAAAACCTCTCCAAAATAAATAAATAAATAAATAAATAAATAAATAAATCAGTGCCCTGAAGTGTGTATCTAGATGTGCAAACGTGAAGAAATATGGGAGGCAGCAGCAGGTAAAGGAGAAATGTTGACAAGCTAATACTAGCCTGAAACCAGAGGTCAGGGTCAAAAGGAAAAACAAATTTCCTTGGAGAAGTAGAGAAACCATTCATATTATGGATCCCTGATAAGCCCAAGAAAATTTATTTTTATTTACTCACTGAGGAAATTACCTAGATTGCCAAAGAAAGATTAGGAAAAACTTACCCTTCACAATATTCATAATTAATCATACTCTTTCAAATGTTCATGGTATTTTCTTCCTTTCTTTCTTTCTTTTTTCTTTTTTTTTGTTTTTAAGAAAGATTTTTGCTATAGGGTAAGCATACTCACTAAAGAGACAGTGAGACAGAAAGAGAGGAATCACCTCCTGGGAGAACGGCCATGTCACAATCCCTTCTTCTCTATTCTCCTCTCAGGATTTTGGGCATGCATGCACACATGCCTAGTGTGAGTCTTAAGCTGCCAAGTCTGGAACTTGAACCACAGTCAACTACTGGGAATGCAGTGACATAATCATTATGCCATCTGATGGCCCCAAATGTCCATGGTATTTTCTAAGACTCATATAGGTTGGTACCACTGTTACTATCATGATCACAAAGAGCCAGTCCATTAGAAAAATGCCTAAAGCTACCATCACTACGTGGTCTCTAGAAAATTGCGTCTGGTGCGGTTATGAGAGGAGAAAAGGGCTATCACAGATTCCCTTCCCATATACACTCCCCCCTTTACATAGCCGCACCTGGACTTTACTACATTAGGGTAATGGATTCTGCCTGTTCCTACATACGACACAGGTACTGGACACTCTGCAGAGTGCTCTGGGACACAATTCCAGTTGATTGAAAAGGCCAAGTTCTGAATAATAATGGCATTTGGCTATTGGTCATTAATGTGCTTGTCCTAAGAAACAGGCATGGGGAAGTGACAAATTAATTCCAATTTGGCCAGATTGTTTTGGAAGCGCAGAACTCAAAGATGTCTTACTACAAGGAAGGCCATGTATGGTAACAAATCTGATGGAACCACACAAGTAGACATAGGCAAGCCACATTAAGCTCTTTGGGTGACATGGTGATGAGAATATATACGAATAAAAACACCCGAGCTGTTCTAAAACAGGAAATGCAAAATGTAACATAACAAAAACATTTCCCAGAGCAGACACTTGGGCTCAGCGCCAGCTCTTTAAAACCATTGTTAATGACAGTAAAGTCACTGTACAATATGGAGGCAGCTGTACCAAGACAGACTGTCTATGAGCGGGAGAAAATACTAGCCAGTTTGGGTAGGTACAGGGGAATGAAAAATAAACTCTTCAGAGGTGAGCCAAAACATAGCTTTGAAAGGTGAAATACCTATACCTGTGGTGAAATGATTGGAAAACAAGAGGACCTCAGTTAAGGATCCCGGAATGTTCCTCATTTCGAAGCTAAACTTGATGCCCTCAAGTTTATGAGAACATTAGTACATAAATGGAGAAATTATGGCTTTTAAAATGGTCTTTATATCCCCAATCTCCTTTAAAGAGCATGTGTTTTAAAACAAAAACAACAAAATGGGGGCAGCCGATGACCTGGTGATGGAGGCTAGATCCCATGTGCCTAACCACATTTCGAGTCTCAAACCAGCAGTTTGAAAATCACGCATGTGCATGTGCATGTGTGCCCAAAATCCCCAGAGAAGAATGGAGGAGAAGGGACTGTTGCATGGCCATCTGCCTGAAGAGCCATTTCTCACTTTCCTTTTCTCTTTCTCTGGTGAGCACAGGTGTCCTTATGGCAAAAACCTAAATAAAACAAAAAGAACAAACAAACAAACAAAATAAACGACATTAAAAAAAAATCATTCGGTCAATATTTGTGGTGGTTCAAAGAGAAAGTGTGTAATGGCATGAAATAAAAACATTGAGATATTCTATAATTTTTAGAGGAAAAGAATGGCAATTTTTGTTGACCCTAAAATATTACCACTCAAAAGGGCTTTAGGAATTCTTGGCAACGATTCTTCCTTTGAACCTCTCTGTGAGTACTGGTCCCCTCCCTAGGTAGCTCTTGAGAAGTTTGACCATTTACAAGGGGGTCCTCTTTTAAATTTACATTTTAAAGATAATACTCAGGTACCCACACTGGATCATGAGTAATGATAACACCAATTATAAGAAGGAACCCTAGAGACAGTGGTCTTTCTGAAAATTAATCCGAAGGCAAATGCCGGAACTGGGGAAAAGAATCTGAAGTAGCAGTTGGTTTTGAAAGTCTGGTATCATTTCTAAATATTCTGGTTATTGATGGGTGGAGAGCCATGTCTTCCACCTTCTGTGCTCAAGTTCTTTACCTGTAACTTCTCATCTGTGGCATCTATTCCATGAACCCGGGCAGATTTTGTGTTGGCAAGTGAACAATGTCATATTAAATGACTTCATATTCGCCATGACATAGGCAATTTTCTCCAGATAAAATTTCTTTTATAGAGCTGACCTTTTGGATTCATCTTCTTTGAACGTTTGGATGGGGGCAGCAATAATCCATTGATCTGTTGAAGGCCACAGCCCCTTCCTTACCTGTAATAACAATCTCTCATCGCCTATGACGGCAGCTTGGTTCCAATTAATCACTTCAGAGAATGGCAACTCCCATCCATTGCTGAGCATCACAGGGACGCAGGCAGCCTGAGCAACAAAGCGGACTGCGTGAGTATGAGGAAGGAAACACCAGGAAACGCTCCAACTGGGGGGGATAAATACTGATCCAAATACTAGCATTTCTTACATTGCAGGGATCCTTAACTGCTTAGACCTGAAGGAAAGGGAGCTTTTATAAATTACCAACTCGCATGAAGACTGCATTTATCGGGACCAGCAGTTAGTGTAATGGCTATGTTGCTGAACTCCCATGTAGTCGACCACAGTTCGAGTTCTGGACCCAGTGGCTTAAACTCATGCTGTGCGGATGTGCGTGTGTGCCCAAGATCCCGAGAGGAGAAAGGAAGAGAAGGAATTGTGGCATGGCCATCCCCCCTGGGGGGGTGATTTCTTGCTTCCTGTCTTCTTTCTGGTGAGCACACGTGCCCTATAGCAAAAAACAAACAAACAAACAAACAAAAAAACAAAAAAAACCTCTCCAAAACAAACAAAAAAGATTGCATGTATCCACACTAGAGTCTCATATTTGCTAGTCTTTATTATTATTATTTTTTTTTGGAGAGTTTTTTTGCTATAGGGCGCATGCGCTCGCCAGACAGAGAGAGACATAGAGACAGAAAGCGAGAAATCACCCCCCAGGGGGGATGGTCATGCCACAATCCTTCTCCTCCATTCTCCTCTCGGGATCTTGGGCACGCACGCACACGTGCCTGGCTTGAGTTTTAAGCCACCGGGTCCGGGACGCGAACTGCGGTCGACTACGTGGGAGTCCAGCGACATAGCCATTACACTAATTGCTGGTTCCCAATATTTGCTAGTCTTATACTAGAATGTTAAAACATATTTCTATTCTAGTACATGGTCTGGCTGACCTTACTTCCATGGAGATGACAGGCCTCACTGGAGAAGTTTTATTGTTGCAAGAAAAGCTTTCACCAACAAAATCCAAGTATAAAACCAACCTTGAATATAAACAGTTTTGCCAATGTAACTGTCACAGTCCACTTGCAAGACAGTTTACCCCCATTTCATGAGTAGCTAAGAGCAGAATATGGCCTGGTATTTCTATGTAGTATTTTATAGATTTAACTATAACAAGGCATTCACCTTTCTCTTGCTCTGCAAACACCTAAACCAAAATCTTGTTCCTTTTAGCATGGAGCAATCCATACCACCATCATGCAAATTTACTAACAGCACCAGAGTCTAACAGCCAAGAACACCAGGCTGATGACAAAGTGGTGGCTTCAAATAACTCCGAATGGGAACCGGAGAACAATTTGCTCCATGCAACATCCCAGGAGGCAACAAGAACATCAGTGACAGCATATTTCACAGAACACACAGAGGGCACAAGAAAGACTTGAAAGAGAAGGAAGTCCTTCTGTTGGAGGACATGACAGAATGACTTGCAGTTAGGGTGACAGAGAGAAGTCATGAAGCCCCACTGCAATGGAAGCACAGATTCAGGCCAAGTTCAGAGGAGGAGCACAGCAGCACGGGGGCAGGAAATGAAGGATGAGAAGTTGAGAGCATGCTTTCTCCTTGCAGTCAGGGGAGGCTGGTTGTTACTTCCAGATGGCAAATGTGGACAACTGTCTCGGCAGGAGAAGACATTTCTGCAGAGTGAGAAGGCATTTCTGTGGGAGCAGAGAGACTCTTGTACAGGCTTTGGAGCTGGAGCCAGGACCTCTGAACTGAAAAGCCTCAGAATAGCTGGGCCAAATAAGCAACACTGCCCTGCAGGGCATCGCACTCAGCATTTAGAGGAACTGAGTAACAACCAAGATGGGAACAAACAGACATTTTGCTTCTGGGCTATGTCAACAATTAATCATTTTCACTTCTCCTGAGATTGGCAACCCGGGGAAGGACAGGGACACTTTGAGGAGTCCAGCTAGGCTGCCTGGCAAGCCACTTGGCAATCGGGTCTGCCTTCTGTTTGCAAACATGTTCCTGAGGAACTTACCTTCTCTCCATCAGCCCCCTGCTTTTCAATATTTCAGAATTCATTTCAAATGACACTTTCTTTATAGCTCTCCCAGGAGAGGTGATATGGTTAAACCTATCCAGTCTGGCTTCAATCTTCAGCCCTATTCTAAGGGGGGTTTCAGGGTCTCTTACCTGCAAAGCCTCCAGGAATCTGAAGGAACCAAGCCTGCGACCACGAGGAACCAGACAGAAAGTGGCATTGTGCAACATTTCTCGATAATCATACCTAAAAAGAGGAAGAGAAATCAGCAAACGAAGACCAGTTAAAAATGTGTGTGTGTGTGTGTGTGTGTGTGTGTGGCTGGGGGTGAGGGGAGCTACAGGAAACCTCACCAGGTGTGAATTTACCCAGAGCAGTTAAGCAAAGGAAAGCCCTGGCAGGGTGGGTGGCTCTTACTTTTCCATGGGGCAGCGGCATGCGGGAGGGGGAGGGTTGCTACATGAAGGAGAACGAATGTGAACCCTTATGTTAGACAAAGCAATTAGGGTCTCTTTTGCAAATAGTATATAAAAACCAAGTCTGGTGGTCCTGGGAACAATTTGGCTAGCCCAACCTTTGCTTCCAAGCTCAGAATTTTTGTGTCGTGATGAGATACGTGGCCACCTTAGGCTTATAAAAGGAAAAACAGCCACCGCATCACTCCTGTTGCTTCTCCTTCTCCTTCAGAGCCATGCCAAAACTGTTCTGACTCCTCAGCCCCCAAAACCAGGCTATTAAAAACAGCGCAGTCAACTTCTATCACAAGCACAAAACAACAGTTGTTTTCTCCTTCAAGTTGGAGTTTCTACATTTAACCGAGAACATTCAGTTACTCGAGACAAATATGCCTGTATTAAGAACGGATGACATAATTTATAGGAGAAAGAGGAGGTGAGGTAGAAGAAAAGTAGCCTGAGGAATGGGGGGGGGAGGGAGTAATGACGAAAAGGAAGGCAAAGGAGTGGGTGGGGAAAACTAGAAGAGGTGACTTTTACTCAGGTATAATTTAATGGTATTACGCTGCTTTGCACGCTGAAAAAATACAAAATCTTGACATGAGTGACATCTGTCTATACTACTAAAGTTTAGGGGATGGCAAAAGCATTTCATTCAGTTTAGGACTGTCACTTTAAAGGTGATTCCTTCTAAATGTGCAGTTTCAAGTTCAGTCTGAGTTGAAGAAAACTTCGAAACTAGACAGGGCTCCTGTCCTGCGAAGGCCCCAATTCTCAGAGCCAAGATGAAATCACTCTCATTTTTCAAGAGCTTCCAATGCTGAGCAGACAGGTGTGACTTTGACAGTAGCATATGTCACCAGCATTTTCTGACTCTAATAGTCTAATTTAATCATAGCCTGAAGGCACTGGATTCTTCCCTCCTCTTTTTGGGATATTGATATATACATTTATATTTTTAAAGTCCGCATCTATTTTTATATTCTTACACAAACTAGGCATATGGGAGTAAGCCAATTTTCAATTATAAACCCGTCATTAAGAAGAGACATCATGCAAAGGACCATTTGCTTAAACAAGCGTGTACAACTAATTTGCACAAGAAAAGGTCAATGTGAATGGATTAAGATTATCTTCATTGAGAGTAAAATAAAAAAATCCTTGCTGCATTAATTAAACTGCAAAACAGATTTTAAAGTAGAAAAGATTTTTAAGAAGGCTCAAATTTAGCTAAATAAAAAAATTAAATGATGATGGTAATGGCTCCTCTTTCCTTATTAAACAGAAAAATAACTGACAAAAATATCTTCAAGTTCAAGTGTTGAAAATATCTGATTTTCTCCCTTCTAGGTGGAGAAGAGAGAAATGTACACACACACACACGTTTAAACCGATTATATATATATATATATATATATATAGAAAGGTTGAATGTACTTCAGACGACAGCAAGGTTTAATAAATGCCCAGAATAGAAACCCCTGAGGGACTAGCACAGAAGGTCCTACATCCTCATCATTAACCTGCTAAAAATGTAAAACCCTATTAATATGCTGGATTGTAACAAGTTTCAAAGTTGCCAGTTGCAGAATTTACTTTAGGGAATGGGTGGAGGGAGAGGAAGGGCAGAAAACTTGTAGAAAAAATTCAAATGACAGTTAAACTAGCGTGTTGACCTCCAAATGGTTCTAGAGAAGGATTATTTGCTGAAGTAGCAATAACGTCTACATGACTGAAGCGTGCATTCATTCACATACTATGTAGTGTGAGGTATGGAAAAACACCCGTGCAGAAGTTAGAAGCCTCTTAGGTAGCTGGAAGACTCTGAACGAAACATGAGCTTTCTGTGTCTCAGTTTCCTCATCTACAAAATGAGTCAGTTAGGTTTGATGACTAAATAGTCAGTTTTAACATTCCATCGTACTTTTTTTTTAAAGAGTTTTTGTCTTTAAGAGTGAGATTTTTGCTACAGGGTGCGTGTGCTTGCAGCAAGGCAGAGAGAGACAGAGAGACAGAAAGCCAGAAATCACCCCTCGGGGGATGGCCACGCCACAATTCCTTCTCTTCCAGTCTCCTCTCGGGATTTTGGGCACACACACACATATACAGCTGCCATGAGTTTTAAGCAGCCGGGTCCGGGAGTCGAACCATGGCAGACTAATTGGGAGTCCACCAATGTAACCATTACGCCATCTGCTGGTACTCATTCCATCATTTTTTTATACTTGGCAACAAAATGTCCTTTGAGACTATCCCATGGCTTCAAGTATTTCCTTAACTGTGTATGTGTCTGTGTCTGTACAGGTATTTGCTTGTCTCTCTGTGTGTACAGATATTTGCTCATACAAATACATGTATATTGCATGTATGTACATGTATGTATTCAGATAGACACACAAAGACACATATAACTTAGGACACTGATTTTCATTTGGATTTCTAACCACGCTCAGTCATGAATCAGCCTCTTTTGAGGCTTATGGGAAGGAAGCCTATGAATTATTAGAGGTTATGACACCCTAAAAATGAGATAGTGTTTCTTCTTAGGCCGTGTGTGTGTTTGTGTGGGGTACTCCCACTCAGCCCATCTTGATGTTCTCTCATACCCACATCCACCTCCTTCTAGTTCCTCTCAGTCGTTCATTAATTCAGCCATTCTTTCAGGAGATTCTATGTTTTAGATACCGTCGCATTCCCATAGGTGTAGTTCAGAAAAGGTGTTCTCTAGTTACCAGATTTACCAGAAGACCACCTGATCTAGAAAATACAGATGAGATGAGAATTTAAGATGTAAAATCTCCTGGGGGATTTGGTATTTGTACCACAAAGGGAGATTGTGGAAGGCTGGCCTTCCAGAATGACACATAAAGAACTCTGTGGACACTCTCTCCAGCAAAACAACACGTGAGCAAACCTAAAATGTAAAAAGATTTATTAAAGTCTCTGGAAATTGCCTAAGGGCACAGTGACAAATGGAGAAACATGAATTCAAAGGAATGCGTCAAGGCTGCACAGTGGTGGCACAGCAGCAGAACCCTGCTTTGCAAGGCAGTCCCACATGGGAAGGTTCCTGGTTTGCATCCACAGACCTCCCTGGGTACACAGGGAATGCAGGTACCCATGAATTGGGGCTGGCTGGACTGGGGGAGGATCATAGTGTTGAGAACATTTTAGGCGTTCTCTCTCTCTCTCTCTCATACTCAGGGAAGAAATGAATATTCTTATTTATTTTAATTAATTATTTTTTTAGAGAGATTTTTGCTATATGGTGCATGCACTCACTGGAGAGATAGAGAGAAATCACCCCTGGGCCAGGGGGGATGGCCATGCTGCAATCCCTCCTCCTCTGTTATCCTCTTGGGATCTTGGGCATGCATGCACACATGCTCGGAGTGAGTTTTAAGTCACCTGGCTTAGGACTTGAATTGCAGTCGACTACATGAGAGACCAGCAACGTAACCATTATGCCATCTGCTGGTTCCATGCGTAATTATTCTTTAAAAAATAGGAATAGACAATCTACAAAAAGGGGAAAAAATATCTGCAAACCATATATCTGATAAGGGGCTTTTTATTTGGACACGTAAATAATTCTTCTGGCTCAATGATAAAAAGACACAACCCAAAGGACTAGGTATTTGAATATCTACGTTTCCACAGAAAATACACAAAGTGCCAATGATGCCATGAAAAGATACTCAACATCATCAGTCATTAGATAGTCATTTATACCCCCCAGGAAGGCTATACTCTAAGGGACAGATGAGAACGAGTGCACTGAGATGCAGAGAAATTGGAACCCTTCATACATTGTTGGGTGGAAGGTAAAACAGTACACTTTGGAAAACTGTTTGGCAACTGAAAAATAAAAATGGACTTAGCATATGACCCAGAATGTACTCTTGGACACTCACCAGAGAAATTAAAATTGGAAAACAGTTTGGCAACTCCTCTGAAAAATAAAAATGGACTTAGCATATGACCCAGAATGTACTCTTGGACACTCACCAGAGAAATTAAAACTTACTTCCACACAAAAACTTGTCCATAAATGTTCCGAGCGGTGCTATCTATAATAGCCCAGACTGGAAACGAACCAAATGACCTTCAATGGGTGAATGATTCCACAAATTGTGGATTATCCACAGCCTAGAATACTTATCAGTAATAAAATGGAACAAGCTATATATTAACATGAAAACCTATAAGAAATTACACTAAGTGAAAAAGCCAATCTCAAGAGAATACATATCTCATTGGTCTATTAATATAACATTCATGAAATAACATGAGTAACACGGTAAGGATGGAGAAGAGTTTATTGTTACCATTGGTTTGGGATGGGAACAGAGAGACTTGACAGATCAGGTGAGAGGATAACGTTTGCTTTAATTTAGTACAAGGTGCACACACACACACACACACACACACACACAAGGTGAGGGAGGGAAAGGTGAGAAAGCACCACCCAAAGGAGATGGTCACACCACAGACGATTCTCCTCCATTGCCCTCTCAGAGTCTGAGGCATTCATGTAACCCACAACTCACACTTAGCCTGTTTTCCAAACTGTGGGGTCTGGGACTCCAACCACTCAACTAGCCATGCAGGATCCAGTTAACATAACCACCACACCACAGGCTGGCCATGGAAGATTATAAATATATTATATATATATATATATATATTTTTTAAAAAATATGACCTTTTCTCCTTCTTTTTTTAGGTTTTTCCCTTAGGGCACATGTGCTGGAAGGGAGGGACAGAGAAAGTAAGAGGAAAAGGAAGAAA